CATGGAGCTAAACGCTAGCAGTGTCTCTTCACAGTGGAGATTTGCCCCAACTTCCTTCTACGGAGCGATTTTGACACATTTGCGCTGGCAACCGACTCTCCGCTTCTCGACCACATGTTTCTAAAGCTGGCGACCGAGTACGAGCCCCTCGTTGGGAGATCTTGCTCCCTTTGCTCTATTCCAAATATCTGGACAGCGTATGCGACAAACAGAAGGGAATGTACACTACCCGTCTAGCAAAAAGCTCTCTGTTCAAGCAAACCAACACCAAACCTCGCACCTGTGTACTAATCAAGGAGTTGGAGAAATTTCCCAACTCGCACTGTAGAAACTCCTCCGTCCGCTCACCACCTCTCCCACCCCCCCACCACGACGAACACTTCTTGTAGGCTCGCCTATCAGACTCATTTGAAGGAGTTGATGATGACTCCCAGGGTTACTCGATTTGATGATGGTCGTGTGATACTCTGAGCAGCACCAAAAACTTGCGGATTTTCGGAAACAAGTCGTTCAACGGACGATTTTCACTTTGAAGGATATTGATTGTCCGTTTCTCCTAAAGTCTTGCAGAAAACTTTAAGTTTCAGAGCTGTTTATGGACTTTGCTGACCAACTTATGAAAGTCATAAACGAGACCAACTAAAAAAAGGAAAACAAAGAATGTTCATTAATACTCTCACCTAATAGTTCCTTTGATCCCACATCGTCCCGTTTCTGACTGATTTCTTTCAATTCTTTTTTCTGACGTACTGCATTTTTGAGAAATTCTATATAGCCTCCGATATCAATAGCACCAATATAAAAATTGCCTTTTGTCCCGTCAGCTAGCTGAAACGAAAAAAACTTTTTATAGGACACACCTTGGGAACTTTAATGAGATAAGATTTATCAAGAAATAGGCACAGGTTTTTCTTACAGGTTCCCTTGTTTCTAGCATGTGATATGAAAAAGGGTAAAAAAACCATTGCAGATGGCAGCCTCCTACTCTGAGTGCACACATCACGCACTACTGACAGTAAAGTCATAAAATTAGTATGAGCAGCACATCGCCGCCCTTGACTGAAAAGAAAAACACAACAAAGTAAGTGCCTAAATGTAGTGGTAGATGTTAACCTAGCAAACGATTAATATAACACTGCATTCGCTTGAAATGGAAATAGAAGCGAAAATCATACAACAGCATCTCAGTCTCATTTCTCTTTTTCCTTTTTAGATAATGCAGTATTCTGGATAGTTGAAGGATTACTCCTCTTGTGATTGCGCCACGCCATTTTCCATACTGACTAGCTTCCATGCGCAAGACCAGCACTTTGTGAAAAAGCTCTGACCATGCGAAAGGGGTGTTTTGTATAACGGTGGTAGGGTGTAACCACAATCACAGCGTCCTACCAAATTGATACTAAGAAACGAGCTTCTACTTCCAGGATAGCTGCAGCATGTACGATGCACATTGTAGCTGTCGTAGATGAGCGCCGGTGTCCCGCCCGCGCCCCCAGGGGAGTTAGGCTACTTGTTGAAGGCAAACTGCTCACTAACTCCCATGTATCCTGGTCCTTGCCATGTGTCAGGTAGATGGGTCCGCAGCTGCAGTAGCGTCCCACTTTCTATGCTCAAAAATACACGGGAACAGGGCTGGAGGGAAATGATATGAGTGCCGTCTCCATACTCCGAGCGCACTGCTGCACAACCAGCCAAGTGCCTAACCGTGGCCAAATGCGCTTTTTGTCTAAACTCCCTCACTTCCGCTGTTCTCTTTGGCCGAGTGCGTATTTCGCTGCGGTCCTTTAAAGACAGCCCCGCGCTCGAGTAGTACATAGTCGTCCTTCCTTGTGCAAGTCCTTTTTACAGCCCCCAAGACTGTCCTATTCGTCTGCACAGCGAGCGAGAGGCGAGCTACAGCCGCTGTAAGTTCTAGTTCTAACGCCTGCTCAGTTGGACCGCCTTACTTGCTAGATGTTCTCCGACGGAGGCCACTCAGTTGTTCTAAGTCGGGGCGGCGGGCATTGCTAATGCCCATGGATAATCCTGCTCCCCTTTATTACAGTTTACTCACTGGAGGTATATACATTCAATTCAACTCATTTCGCGAGGTGAAACGCGTAAAAAGCACGAGTGACGCAATTTTCGTGATGCAAAACCTCGACGCACAAAACGTGCGCTACCGTAACCCCAAATTAAGACACCGCGCTGATAAAATTCCTTTTTCCTTCCAAGAGTTTTTCCTCTGCGTTTTTGTTGTTTTCTTTTTGTATTCTTTTTTGCACTGGATGATATCAACTACTGCGAGATGTGATAGAGAGTTTGTGAGCTAGGGGTTGCACAGAGACCGCTGGGAGGTGTGACTGTGAGGGAGCGATTTTGTTTATGTTGTTCTGGAGGACGCTTCTTGCCTGTTTTCTCCTTTGAGAGATCACTTATCAGCTAGTGTCTCATAGCTGGAAAGCAGCTATCCATGAGAGTTTTATCGCGGGAGCTGTCTTTAAATGCTGCGATGAGGATAGCGCGGGTGGAGTATGGAGACCGCACCAACTACCACTACACTCCAGCCCAGTTCACATGCATTTATAAAGGAGAAAGTGACACGCTATTGTACCCGCGGACCATTCACCTTGCACATGGACTGTTCTACAAAAGTTCCTTCACAAGCGATTTCGGGCGTATACATAAAAGAAACAAACTCCATGTGTGCAACAAATAACAATCAATGACTTTTTAACAAATAACAATCAACAACCGAAAAAAGCAAAGAAAAAGCGCTCCAAAGAATTTTCACTTCTGACAGCAATCTTGCAAAGTAACCCTCCCATTAAGCATCAACATTTCAAGGAATGAATTCAGAAAGATCTTACTGTTCGGTGATATACCATGTTGAGTCGAAATTCTCGCCACCACTGACCACCAATCACTACTATCTGACGGCTGGCACACAGTAGAACGTTCATTGGACAGTTCAGGTTGAGGCAAGCAGCAGAATCAGCCAGACGCGAGACTCGGATAAGAAACAGAAAACTGTGCATTTTAGGATTTTGTGACCACCCAATAACATCATCGTATATTACTGATCATATGATTGCCGTCTAGCATACTGTACCAGCACCGTACATTGCTGATCTCGCCTTTGGGCCCCCCCCATAGCATACTTTGCATGCCAAGTAATGGTATACAGGGGGGCAAAAAAAGACATTCCGACCGAGTCAGATATCGGCAAAGTTTTCGCAGCCCAGACAGAGGACGTGGGTACGAGTACCAGGGCGGAAGATACCCAAGATTTTTGTCTATAAGCAGGAGCTGGCGCTCGCCCATCACCTCCATGTACACCAAAATATGAAGTCATCTCCAGCCGCAACCTGACTGGAGAAGACGTTCGGAATTCCTGTCATCTCCGAACAGTTGCGAATCTTCTAGTATGGAGTCACCCATAAATAGCTACCTGGAGAGCAGCACTCTCGATCTGGGGAACCTCCATCATCGAGCAGCTCCGTCAACGTCGCTACGGGCTAGGACATCATCTTTACTTCAGTCGCCAAGGCGAGACCGGTTGATGGTGGGGACGCGGACGTTACCTGAATGGAGAAACCGATACTTTCTCAGTGGCCCCGGACTAAAGGTGAGCGCTGGCGGTTACATTGGGCAACTCGTGAAGAATATCCCTCCTCACATGTGGTCGCCGTACCTTCTTGGAAACTTTGTACTGCTACAGCATTGAGTGCCACCACATGAAATCGAAGGCGCTTGGAGAAATTCTTGCCTACTTGTAATGGAAGGGCGTTGAGTACCTGAAAAAGGTGGAGAATCTAAGCAGGTAATCTGACTTAAACCCCTCAATTACCTGGCTCGGGCGGAGTTCAATAGGGTGGTCAAACAGCGGCGGAGAAATCAACGATCTCGCTGAACTCAGGCACCCACTCACGGCCGCGTGGCAGAATCTCTCGATGGCGCTCCTCCAGAAGGCTGTGGCGGAGTGTCATGATAGTATTTCATGTGCTCTTTGATATGGTGGTAGAAATGTCCGATAATAATTTGATAAAGTGTAACTTATAGCGCCTCGAAAGTCGGGGAAGAAAAAAGTCTTTTTTTTGGCCCCCCCCCTGTAAATAGTGGACCCCTATCAGTACTGTTACCCCTTTTTTTGTCACTCTTCGCCGTCGCCGGTCGGCTACTACCATTTTATCGTTGTTTCTCTTGTTTATTCGAATTTTACGCATTCGTTCTGTTACCAGTTCGTATAAACGTTTTTTATTAAGATTCCTGGCACAAACCTTTATTCAAACTAAATCTTTCTAGTGGATTCCCGGTGTAACCGGCAGACGCCACAGCAGGGGAAGAGAGGCCACTTGCTACCCCTTAGCAACTTGGGGGCCAAACCAACTTGGACAGGAGGTGCCAAGATTTGAGGGTCCTGACTGTATCCCGTGGAGACTCTGTGAAAGGCAGCTAAAAGGAATTCAAAGGGCCGAAATTGTTGGCTCCCCTTCAGAACGGGGCCGAACCAACTCGGAGAGAAGGGCAAAGATTCGAGCTCCCGAGCTGCATCCCGTGCAGACACGGTGAAAGGCAGTGAAAAGGGAGTCGAATAGCCGGATTAGTTGGCTCTCCTTAGGGGCGAGGTTGAACCAACCTGGATGGAGGTACAGAGATTGAGCTTCCTAGCTGCATCCCGTAAGGACACGGTGGAGGACAGTGGAAAGGGAGTCGGGAGCTGGACTTGTTGGCCCTGGGTCAACTATTTGATCAGCTGTTCATAAGTACTGGCAGCAGTTCAGAAGAGGTACTGGCCAAGAAAGGAGGGACGTTACTTGAACATTGCCGAACGGTCATGTGTGCAAGAACAAACACCATTTTTTTTTGTCGAACTCAGTGTCGATTCGCGCCGTGGTAGAGCCTAAGAGCAGTACAGTAATTGAAGTAGATCTGCTTTTAGACGTGATGAGCATGATTTCGTCAATGAGTTCCGAGCAGCTATTGCGCACGCCGTCTCGCAGTGGAGATCTCTAGAAAAAATGGATCTGAACGAGTGCAGAACGGAGGCAGGGGTGAGCTTTGATACGGAGTTCGACAAATTCTCTAATAAAATAAGGTCGCATAGCTACCATAGCTGTGAAGTGCGATAGTGAGTTAGCAAAGACTATGCGCACGAGACCCTAAGCGGGATTCAGTGGTGGCAGCCGTAAACGAACAAAGCGCGTTAGTAAAAGAGATAGTGCGCACCATTCTGAAAAAAATGCGCGATTTCTGTGGCCCAAGGATTGCTGACGGGATAATCAATTTTTTGAGAACAGCAAATTTCTCTGGGGCCGAACACTTGAAGCAGTTATTTAGCGATTTGGACGACATGAAATCTATAGTAAATTACGCATCTCAAAATTTAGGCAGTGCCACAAACCAGATAGTCGATACAGTTGAAGAGACTCTCCATACTATAGGTAGCTTACAAGAAAGTAACTCACAGTTATGTTGTAAATTACAACAAAAAGAATTGCAGGTGGAGAGCCTACGCAAAAGAGTTGAAGACTTGGGCAACAACTCGTTGAGGGCGGCAAGTAGCCGAGGCGAAAACGACGGACCTGCGCTGGCCAACAACGGTAAGGAATCGAATACTTGTCGCAACATACAGCGAAATCTTATGCCCAATCTCGCATTTCAGGAATCTCAACCATCGACCTGGATGCGATCGACCCGAGAATACTCAAGCACTATGCCGAACGAAGACTCAAGAAACGAAGTCAGAACTCGACCGTCATCGGACACAGGCGAGTACCAAATTTCTGGATTTTCTATGAGTGATTATATGAAAACGATAGCACTACCGGATGTTCAACCTTTTGGAGGACCTCATGAGTGTTTCAAAGGGTTTCTATCTTCGTTCGATATTGAGTATCCAAGAGATAAGTGGAGAGTCGTTTACATTTGTTTCAAAGTTTCTTACGTGAAGACGCGCTTACCACATTTTAAACCCTGCCGGTAGAGGTACGCGAAGGGACATCTGATGATGTAGTTGAGGCAATGAAAAAGCGCATGCGCGTCGATGGGAACACTGTACAGGGGTGGCCAAAAAAAAAGTCACTTTGACCAAGTCACATATCAACGAAGTTTTCGCAGCCCAGACAGGGGAAGTGGATACGAGTACCATAGTGGAAGATACCCAAGATCTTCCTCTATAAGCTAAAGCAGGCTGCCGCCAATGCGCCTTCATGTACGCAAAATATGAAGTCATCTCCAGTCGCGGCCTGACTGGAGAACACCTTTGGAATTCACGTCGTCTTCCAAACAGCTGCGAAACTTCTTGTTTGAGGTCATCACACAGATAGCTACCTGGAGGTCAGTACTCTTGATCTGCAAAGACCTCCCACATCGAGCAGCTCCTCAACTTCGCTACGGTCTAGGACATCATCTTCACCGTGTTCGCCGAGGCGCGAGTTGATGGTATGGACCGGGTTACCTGGAAAGGGGAAGACCGGTATTTTCTTTGTAGACCCCGACTGAAGGTGAGCGCTGGCGGTTACATCAAGTAACTCGAGAAGAATATCCTCCCTACATGTGTCGCCCGTACCTTCTTGGAGACCTTGTGCTGCTACAGTTTGGGTGCCACCACATGGAATCAAACGGTTTTGGGAAAACTCCCGCTTACTTTCGAATGGAAGGGCGTTTCGTATCTGAAGAAGATGTAATATTTAAAGTATGTCCCCTGACCTGAACCCACTCAATTACCTAGCTCGGGCGGACTTCAAGAGGGTGGTCTACGGTGGCGGAGAAATCGACTAATTCGCTGATCTCAGATACCACATCGCGGTCGCGTGCCAGAATCTCTCGATGGCGTTCGTCCAGAAGGCTGTGGCGGAGTGTCGTGATAGTACTTAATGTGCTCTTCAATATGGTAGTAAAAATGTCCGATCAGAATTTGATAAAGTGTAATTTATAGCGCCTCGAAAGTCAATGAGGCAAAGGACTTTTTTTTTTTGGCCACCCCTGTATAATGCTCTGGCTGATTTGAGGAAACTGACCCTAAGAGATGATCAGTCACTTGCAGAATTTTATTTGCTACTAAAACGTTCGACAAATAGAGAATACCCAGACGTGCCGCAAGAAGTGATTTCGCTAGAGAAAGCGGAAATTTTGAGCAGGCAGCTTGCGAACTGGGATGGCAGCTATTGCTTGATGGAAGCTTTAGAAACCAGTGCAGCTGTAGAGGTTTATGAGAAGGTGAAGGAGTCCGCCTTGCGGTTGGAGAGGAGTATCAGAGCCGCAGCAGAATGCAGAGATCCTCCTGGGACGAAGCCTACACAGCGATAAAATCGAATGGGAGCGGGGTAAAAAGACGAACCAAGACCCTTCTTAGGTCTCAACAAGTGCACGTCAGCGACAAACGCGGAAAGAATGCAGGAAACCAGGTCCAAGAAGCGGACAAGTGAGCAGAAACAGCACTGCAAAAGAGTTGCGGTCGTGCTGTTGAAATTACGATCTTTGGCATGTCGGCAGAGGCACTCTTGGATACGGGATCGCAAGCGACCATAGCCCCTTTGATGCTGCTCAAGAAGGCGATAGATGCAGGGATAAACCTCGACGATTATGTCGAGCGGATACCTTCTCTGAAAGTGAAAGTAAGGGACGCGTCGGAGAGGGAGTCGCATAAAGTTTGTTGATACTATCAGAGTCTCGTCATCCTCGATGGACAGGAGGTATCCATTTCTGTGTATGTTGGTAAAGGCTTCAATGATGAGCTGTAGTATTAGGAACCAACACGCTAGAACGCTTTGAGATGAAGTTAGTTCAAGATTGAAGAGTAAAACATACCGCATTCAAATAAACTAGATTCACCTAGCGAAAAGGAGGACGTCGAAGTGAAAGCTGAGGTTAACACGTTGACGACAACGCAGGTTTTTACTTTTCGGCCTCGTGGGACTCACGCGCTTTCTTGAACGCCACAAGTGCGGAACGCATACAATTCAAGCCGTCCCACGAAGCGCTTTTTCGGAGTCTGGATCGAAAAATCTGGTTTAGAGAGCAATTGTAAGTCAATTATTCACTATGGCAAAATCTGGCCTGGCCAGCTCTCTTTGCACCAGGGCCAGGAACTTGTCTGTAAACATTTTTTCATAAAAAAAAGCAAGCCGTGCTTTCTATAGGATTCAGAATCGTGCACCTTATATTCTTCGTTATTATCAATGTTGTAATTGTCTGTACTTGTTGGCAAAGACTTAAACAGCAAACCAATCCAAAGTTAAGGAGCAAACCAATTCAAGCATATAGTGCTCTTTCCACAGGAAATGTCTGCTAAACTGGTGTGTACTAACTTTCCATGGACCATGTGTCGCACGAGCATACTAAGGACTAGCCTATGGAATGAATAGGAGAAACTAAACAAAAAATCATGCCCTAGTGAAAGATAGGGATTTGTTGATCGTGATTCGTATACAATTCGCGCGGTCGCACGTGGCTCACAAAGCGCGCATTAAATGCGTATCACGCTGTCGTCAATGTGTTAAAAAGAGAATCTTCATCCCCAGAAGCGACAAAGGTTCTGTCGATAACGTGCGCTCATACATATCAGTCCGAAACGGCTGTCTTCTCGACAACATCCACTCTTGATGGACAGAATTTGCCATTTTGAGGATCATGAAGCAATTTTACTAGTGACCAACTACACTGATCAAGGCGTATTGTTCAAAAAAGGGAAGACGGTTGGATTCAGAAAAGGGAAGACGGTTGGAGAGTGGAAGAATGAGGAATGAGTGAAACACAAACATGTTGAGCATAGCAGGGACATGTTGGACATAGATAAGCCCAGGAAATGGAGTCCTCGGAAGGATCGTATCCATAAACTATTGGAAATAAGTTGGGAAAAATCCATGATCACGGATAAAGCAAAGAAACTGGTGTCGAAATTCAACAATGTGTTCGCCGTAAACGACTCGGAGTTGACTCAGACTGACCTGGTAGTCCACGACATCGACACCGGAGAGCATGAGCCCATAAAACAAAAGACTCGGCCAGTTCCAGTAGCAGTGCGCAAAGAGTTCAAAGGACTGATAAAGGATTCGGTCAGTCATGGAATAGTTAAGCAAGTTCATCGGAATGCGCCTCGCTAGTCAAGAAGAAAGATGGATCTCTCAGAATTTGCATCGACTACAGAGAATCAAACAAAATCACTCGACGTGATTCGTACCCACTTCCAAAGATTGACACAGTACTTCAGTGCCTGAATGGGAAGAAGGTCTTTTCCACAATGGATTTAACTTCCGGCTACTGGCAAATCCGCCTCTCGGAAGAAGCAAGAAGGAAAAGTGCTTTTACGACAAGTGAGGGGCTATATCAGTTTACCGCGCTGCCATTTGGGTTATCCACCAGTCCAGCAGACTTCCAGTCAATGATGGATATGGTTCTGGAAGGGCTAGGTCTGGACGAAGAGGTGTTTGTATATATTGACGATATACGGTCGCCACGGATACACTAGAACGACATTATGTTTTTTTAGATGCTGTGTTGGGAGCGCTACGTAAGGCGAATCTACGTCTGAAGCCCCAGAAGTGCGAGTTCTTCAAAGAGAGTGGCCATCTGATAGACAAGAATGGGGTAAGAACGGATTGTGAAAAGGTAACGAGGATTGTCGAATACCCTACACCTTAAAACAAATCAGAATTGAGAACTTCGCTTGAAATGGTGTTATACTATAGAAAATTCATTGCGAGATTCTCCAAACTTGCTAAATGTCTATACGACTTGACTAGTTCCAAAAATGCGTGGACATGGACAAAGGACGAGTCAACAAGCTTCAAATCTTTGAAAAGGGCGTTGACTACCGCTCCCGTACTGGGACAACCAAATGTAAACGCAGCAGAAAATGGAACACGTCCATTTATCATGTATACAGATGCGTCCAAAGATGGAGTAGGGGCTGTACGGGCTGTATTATGTCAGCTGCTCCACCCTTTATTTTTTGCGTCCAAGAACTCCACAAAAGCGGAAAAGGATTATCATATAACGGACTTGGAGGCACTAGCAGTGGTGTTTGCCCTGAAAAAGTTTCATTTTTGGTCTATGGACTCAATGTAGTGGTTCGAACAGAACAGGTTCGAACCACTCATATGTCTATTCAAAAGGACAAACATTTCGGCAAGGGTTTCGCGATGGGCCCTGTAACTCCAAAATTACCGCGAAGATAGAACACGTGGCCGGAAAAGCCTACGCAGTAGTGGATGCCCTATCGCGCAGCGCTGTAAGCTTACCAAAAGGAAGTGACTCTAGTAAAGAGCAGAATGCAGGTGCGGTTATCCGCGAGGTGACAGCGGAAGGTAGCGAATGGCTCAAAACTGAGAGAGGATGACGATTATAGGGAGATTCTCAACAGCATCAACGTAGGTAACGGTTACAAAGACGTGAAGGTGCCCAGATGCTCCCGAAGATTTCGTGTGGCCGACTTTTTTGTAGATGATGGAGAATTGGAGTTAGTTCTAGAGAACTCAATGGTAAAGGTGGTGCCTAAATCAAAAAGAAGAAAGTTGTTCGACGAGGCACATGAAGGTCTGCTAGCAGGGCACCTCAACGCCCGCAAGTTGTACCGTAAGCTCAAAAAGATTGTGTTCGGGGAAGGCATGGAGGCCGACATCTCGAAGTGGTCGGAAGAATAATCGAGTTGTTCCTGTCTCGCGCTCACGAAATGCAGATACCATTGAAACCATTCACTACGGAAACTCCGTATGAGTTGATTGGGATAGGTGGAGTATGGCCTGAAAGAGAGGGGGAACAAATATGCCTTGGTAGTTATAGACCATTTTTCCAAGCTCTCTGGGGCCTATGCCATACCAGATAAAACAGCGAAGATAGTTGCTAGCGTTGTTTGAGCGGTGGATCTGTGAAGGCTGTAGATGGCCTAAGTGCATCCATTCTGACCAGAGGTCTGGTCTGAGAACGCGACGGTGACCTTGATTCCTGATTTCCAGATCGTGGTGAATAGGAAAGTGTGGTCGTGTCTCCTTTACTCTTCCGCATCTGCTTCGGCTTGAAATTTCTTCTTTTCCTCCTTTTGGCTACGTAGTTGACCGTAGCACCAGCTTTGCGTCTTCTTTGTAAGACTTGATTAGCTGGCACTCGGCGGTGAGGTCCTTGATCGAGAGTTATCGTCTTGATCCAGGTTCCTCAGGAGGCGTGTTCTGTAGTCTGCATATTCCGCTCCTTGAAATCCGGCTACATAAAAGAGGCATTGTAGACCATCGAAGTTGATAGCGTCGAATTTGGCATCAGAACATCGCGTCCGCTTAAGTGTTTCATAGCTGTTGAAGTCCTGGTGATCGTAGTGTATCTTGAAGCACTCGAATCTCCGGCGAAACAGCGTTTTGGCAGATCCGAATAGATGATCCATGGTTGAAACTGCTTCTTCCCATGACAGGTCCGACGGCGACTTTGGCGCAATGGAGCCGCAGCTGGTGGCAGTCTTCATCCAGTCGGCTGACTGAGAGGCGGGCTCTCTCTTGCTCGCTTAGCTCCGTACAGTCGTTGTCGAACACATCCTTGGATCGCTTGTACCACACATCGAACGTCTTCCCGTTTTCCGCTTCGAAGCTGAACTTGTCGATACGTCGGCACATGGAGTCGAAGATGCTGTGTTTTGCAGTTGCTGGGCACGCCTCGACCATTCGCTGTTCCATCTTCTCCATCATCCGCAGGAAGGAATTTGCGATCTCCTTGTGCTGCTGTTGCATGAATTCGATGGACTTGTCCTGACGTTCCATTCGGCGTTCCATTAGAGCGAGAATATCGGCCAGCTTGTCCATGAGTCCTTGATACTGATCGCCAGTTGTTGAATCCGGAGGCAGTAGGCAGAGTCGGCAGTAGGAGATTTATTAGACGAATGAAATCAACGAAAACATTGGGGTTTATATACCCCCATGAGATCAACATTTGGGCGGCAAAAAACAGTTCACTTGCCCCTCAGGCATAGCTGGCAGACCACCCACCGTATCACTGGCCAACAATGACCACCATCGACTCGACCTATCCAACAGTAGGCAACGACTATGTAGGAACGATTGCTCACGAAGTTTATTTCAGACTGAGAATACTACTGTGCGACGTGCTTATATACCATAAGAAAATGACGTTTTTTGAGGAGTCAAAACATGGAAGCCAACATTTCTATGAGCAGACAAAATGTGACATTTTCTCTGGAAGGGTGATTAAGAAGGAAGATCATTCAATCGAATTTCGATTCAGTAAAAGGCTCGACTATAAGAAACCCATGATACTCCCAACCCAAAAAGAAGTGAATTAACGTTTTTTTTTTGATGAAGATGGCCTCAATTGAGCGTTTTCGAAATAAGCGGAGTAGTTTGAAGATTATGATTATTACAACGAGCACGAGTAGAATAGTTTTCCAATATTTGAACACATCAGTCAATGAAGTGAACCAATTAGAGATTGTGGTTGGGATGTCTTTTACAGAAAATCCTGTAGATGTTGCGCGATATGTGTCCAAATGTTGAAGCGACGTCCGTTGAAGAATCGGTTCGTTGACGTAGTCCAGTGTTCCCCGGAGAGTGTTTGTTGACTGTCCTGCGGGGCAAAATACCGAGCAAACGATGTTAATGGACGAAGTTGAGAAATGGAAGGTTGCGTTGGAAATTACTCCGTAAGGTGAGCACTTGAGGAGTTGAGTCTGGTTGTCGCAGTGAATTTCGGCGGCTTCTTCAGATTGTGTTGATGTACAGGATATTTGGGCACGTGCTCCTTGGAAGCAGGAGTAGCATCCTGTGAGAGATCATGCATCAATGTGGCATTTGTTACGGACGCGTTTCGTGAAGATCGAGAGCCTCTGCATGGAGATTTGAACGGCTGTGCTGGATCCAGTTGTAGTCTTCGCTTGGATGCTGGTTTCGCGTTGGAGTATGACGACGTCTTTTCCATAAAGCGGTAATTTTGAGGGGGGTTGTTTAGGTATCGTCGTACGTTTCCTTCGGGGCAACTACATGAAGCATCGTAAACGAGAGGAGTGCATTGGCAGGAGGATGGAGAAATGTGGCACGGCGAAAATTTCTTAGCAACTTCTTCAGAAGCGCATCGAAGTTGTCCTACGGAGTTGGGGAGTAGGATTCCAGCCGATGAGGTGTTCGACTTTCGCAACTGTTGTGCCATCAGTGTGAAAGTAGCTAGATAGGATCGGTAGATTCGGTACGATTGTTGCCGTCAGGGTGAGTTCGATGGTGTTCCATATGTAAGGGCGAGCGGGATGTAGGACGAAGTCGTGTTGTTGTCTCTTGGTTGAGGTTTCCAACGTGATTGTTCCTGTGATTGTGATCGACCATACGGGGCACGTGAAGACGCGGTAGATAGCTCCGGAATCTGGCCGTGTGTAGACTTTGTACAAAAGGCATGCCTCCTTGCACCAGGAGCAAAAATCGCACCAGAAGCATTGGCACGATGGAGAGCAGTAAGTGTGGCCGGGATTGTTCTTCGCGTCGCTGCTGAATTCTTTTATGTTAGTCGATGTAGAAATGCCAGTGCAAGTTTCGCCGGTGCAGTTGTATGCATTCCAACACTGATGGTGGGGCTCGGTATGGAACTGGTGGTCTCTGGTGTAGTAATCTGTCCGCTCTTGGCAGGTGTAGGCGATGTCGTAGACTCGTAGAGTGGTGATTCCTGTGGGTTCACTCTTGTTGTTGATTGAAATAACATTCTTCGTTTGTGGAGTTCGTCCTGCAGTGTTGCGTTGTGCCTGTGATGCTGACGATATCGGAGCATTCGTTGCTATAGCGAACGAGGGGGAGAAGTAATGCGACGAATGTCATCTTCTTATGTAGCCGTCGAGGAGGCGGTTGTCGGGAAGTGGATGACATATTTGTCGCGGTGGCGTCCGAGAGAGGTAGTCCTTACGAAAATTTTTCTCAGCGCCAGAGTCAGTCTTCTGAGTAACACCATAGGCATCTGAAAGCCGGGAAGATGAGATGGCAGGTGATTAAGGACAGGAAGGATATGGCTGCTGTGAAAATAATCTCCAGCCAACAGTGGAGGTTGATTATGTGTTCCCAACAGAAGAAGCAATCGATGGTCGCAACTTGGTTTCCTTTCGCAGGTGACGGTCTTGGTGAAGGCTTGTTTTCCATCTTTCCAGGCGGCGAGTTTAACTTCACACTGAAAGAGGGTTATGGAGGTGGGGAACAGGATTTCAGCGTTCGATGAGTAGTCAGAGATGTAGATGCACGTATACGGCTGCATGCTTCCACCATTTGGAGTGTCTCCGTCGTTTCGATGAGAATTCCGCCGACTGTGCACCTCGGAATATAGCATGATGCGGCTGGTTCTGGTGATACTAATGCCATATTGGGGTAATATGTCCGAGTTGTTGTTCCCCATGCTTCGATTACGATGGGTGTGTTGTTGTGATGATACGGTTGGGTATGCGCAGAAACTGTCCGTAGAGTCGGGAGATGAGCACTGATGACGTTTGCAGTAGGCCGGTGTCCCTGTTGTTGATGAAGATCCTGATGCGGATGTAGTTTTGTTGCCGTTGAAGTCCAGGCAGTAGAAGTCGTCGTGGCTGAGAAAGTTCACTGACTGGATATGGAGTTCTGGTACGATTACAAGTGTTCCATCGTATAGCTGATTTTGGTGAAATACTCCAAGTCTCTGTTCGGAGGAGCACAGTTTCGATGGCTCGAATGAGCAGACGTGTGGTGGTAGGAACTTCGCGACCGATAACGGGAGGTGTGCGTATGTTGACGTTTCCGTGAGCTCGCCATCGTACTGACTGCAGGATGTCGTCCAGCCAGGGCATTTACAGTCGGTGTCGCAGAAGCTGGTGTTGGGCCGGAAGGGTTGTGGTATACGAGTGTGACCAAGTGGGCATGAGAATGGAAACCAGCAAATGGTTTTCTTATTTGGAAACGACGTTTTTGTAGTGGTGATGACGATGGCGATCCCGCTGGAGACGCACTGATCAGCCTGAATTAGGTGCCGTGATGAATGCTGGTCTTGCATTTCGTGTCGGGATTAGCGTAGAGTCGAAGTCTGCGGTGACGGTTGAGCACACGATCAGGATGGCGGTTAGGATGGAGGCGGACGATTGTCGGGTTAAGCTGCTTGCCATCATCGGGTGCGACCTCGTGTTTGACGACTGTTGCTGCTTGTCCGTTGCGGCTTTCCGCTTGTTCGTTTAACTCTCGTGCGAAGGCTGCGTTAACGGAGGGAGCTCCAAAGGGTGCAGTAGGTTTAGGGGTCGAGTGATTGTGGTGCCGCTCGGAAGTTTGACGAGCGCTAAATTGTCGGAGTGACTCATTATGCGTCCTAATTTCCATTGGCTACGTGGTCGTACTGCATCGCGGACCAGCACTACGATTTGGTCGTTAGAGGGGATCTTCGAAGATGTATGGAATGGTTGTCGATGTTCGTGCTGAAAGCTTTCTCGGAGATTGGTCAGATACTCTTCATTCCATCGTTGCCAAAAGCGGTCCAACAACGTTATGGCAGCGTCCCATTGTCTCTGTACCAGGTCCTTTGGTGTTTTGTCGGGTTTCTATTCGTCATCTTTGTCCTCTTCGGCCGCTAGGCGAGGTGAACCTATCAGTGAGAGAGGGCGCAAGAAATCGATTGAAAGTAGCGGGTATCCCGAGTCAATGGCGCTGTAGACGTAAGTGAT